CTCCAGTGGTGGAGTCAATCAAAAGGACAGTACAGTCAGCCTGAAAGGTACCAGTAATCATATTCTTGATAAAGTCACGATGTCCAGGGGCATCAATAACAGTGCAGTAGTACTTGGTTGTCTCGAACTTCCACAAGGCAATATCAACGGTAATACCACGCTCACGCTTAGCCTTCAACTTATCAAGCACCCAGACGTACTTGAAAGATCTCTTGCTCATCTTAACAGCTTCCTTCTCAAACCTCTCGATCACACGCTTGTCAATGCCTTCAAGCTTGTAGATCAAGTGACCGGTTGTGGTCGACTTTCCAGAGTCAACATGGCCAATGACCACAACGTTAATGTGAACCTTCTCCTTACCCATAGCAAATTTTTTGCAGAAATAACTTGAGAATTCAGGGGCTGGTAAATCGGCAGAGGTGAGGAGAGAGTGTTCTTCTGCTTGTTTTTCTGATGGAATCCTGGGTATAGGTTTCTAGGTATCGTATATGGGGCTATCTGTGCTAGCTTTCGGGTGTGTATTGATTTTTTCAGGCTCCTTCCTCTTTTTATTCTTTTCATTTTTGCTCGCTGTATATGCTTGATTCTTTGCATGAATTATGCCAAACAAATCTGTAACTGAATCACCAAGAATCATGTTCCACCGGATTCGTGATTGAATCACCAAAAATCATGCTCCAACGAATCCGATATTGAATCACCAATTTCCTTTTTTTTTTTTTCTCCTTCTTATTTTAAACCCTTTTGATTTTTTGATTTTTTTCTTTAAATAATAATAATAATAATAATAATAATAATAATGATAATAGTAATAATAATAATAATAATAATAAACTATGAATAATATAATAACAATAATAATAATATATTGTTATATCAATATATTATACTCTAATATAATATAATAATAATATAATAATATAATACTAATAATATAATATAATAATATTAATAAAAATAATTCTATCGATCTCGGACACATATGAGTGTCTACATATATAATTGAGAATTAAATTTACTAATTTTGATGTCGGTGATTATAAAGATCATATTAAGTAAATTGAAAATTTAAAAATTTAATTTATGTTTTTAAAATGATACAATAAATTAATAGATTTTTTGGTTTTGTAAATGAGTAATTTTACAAAGTAGGAATATGTAAATAACCTAGACAAAGCAGTGGATTTTCAAGAGGTAGTTCCAATTTTCAAATAGTGAAGTATTTTTGCAAATATAGCTGATTGAAAGTTCAAATAGGGTAATTTCTTGTTAAGATGTAAGCATTTTTTTGCTTACATTAAATAAATTTAAAATTTTTATTATTATTTTAAATTTTATTTTGAGTCGAACTCAAATATAAAAAATAAAATTCGATTAAGCTTGAGTCTAATATTAAACTTTAATTTTTGAGTTGAACTCAAGCTCGAACTTGATAGTATATTAGTTCGACTTGATTCCATCACACATTTACTCAATATTGACCTAATTTTTTGATAATTCTATGTAATAGAATATATTTTTATATATGCTTAGGATAAAACACCTTAAACCTACCTCCATCTCGATTACGATTTTTAAAAAGAAAAAATCACTTCATTCCAATCGAATCTCGATCTAAAAAAGCTTTTATTAGATTGAAATGAGTCAAAAATAAATTATTTTGTCATTTTTACTTTCATTATCTATTTTTTTTTATAAAATTTATCTCATTAAAAAAGAAAAAATTAAAAAAAGGACAACAAAAAAAGTCAAACGGTGGGTGTAAAGTGACAACTCTATTAGCCACCTTTTTTCTACAAAATTTAATGTATAGCTTAAAATAACAAAAAACTAAAACTAAAAAAATAAAAAAAATCTAGATGCCACGTTAATACTTTTATTGTTATCTTTTTCTCACAAAATAATCTAATTTGAAAAGAGCAAAAAGAAAGTAATCAAAAATCTTTTTAATCAAGAATATCAAATAAAATATCATACCCAATTTTTAAAAAATCTCAAACATAATTAAGAAATATTAAAATAAATAATTAAAAATACAAAAAAGCTAAAACTAAAACAATTAGAAAAAAATGAAAAATACTTTTTAATCAATAATTTCAAATGGATCCACCTTAAAATTTAAAAAAAAAAAAACAAATAATAAATTATTTATTAAGCATGGAGAGAATAAAAAGGAAAAAGAAAAGACTGAAAAAATATTTTTTAATCAATAATATCAAATAAAACTCACCTTAAAATTTTAAAAAATAAAAATAAATTACATAGATACCCCAATTTGTCTGGGGTTGTAATTGTTTAATATGTTTTTATTAAATCAAAAAACGAAAAAGGAAAATCAAGTGTTTAAGCTTGTATGAAATTATTTGTTTAGAGTGTAAAGTTTGAGTTGGAATTAAAGAGTAGTTGAATTTTTTTTTAGTTTAGGGCTTTTATGATCAGGTCCCTCTAAATACAAACCCAAATCAAGCAAAAAAAAAAAATCACAAAGAGATCAACTAGCAAAATATATACACGGTAAAATTAAAAAAAAAAAAAAGAGTAAAGTCTAAATTTTATAAGAGTCTCTGGTAAAGGCTTTATCAATTTGATTGATTGTTTTTTTTTTTTTTTTTTGAGGTACCTGGTGATTTTTGAAAACTTTTTTCAAGAAAAAATTTTAGATTTCGGTGAACTTTTTCAATTACTGATGGAGATTCTGACGAAATTTGAGTTTTTCGACAAGATTTATAGTTTTCGGCATTAAATTTTCAAAAACTGACAAACTTTCGGTTACTTAACCTAGATTCTGATGAGTGTTTCTAAAATCCGTTAAATATTCAACCAAAGATTCATTGGTTTTAGAGAGAAAAAAAAAAGAAAATGAAGGAAGAAAGAGATAGTATAAGTGAAATATGAAAGAAAAAGAATAAGTTTGGCTTTCATAGCCAATTAAAACGATGTCATTTTGACGTTTAATTCAGCCCAAAATTCGCGTGTTTCCGCCAGCCCAACCTAACCCATTGCGTGATCCAATTTGCAACTCGTTCCAACCGTTGTCCCTCTAATAAAGCTGAGTCACCTTTTTGAGCCGTTCCAGTCGCTTTCCCTTCCCGCAACCGAGCTACACGCTTAAGACGAGCTGAGCCAATTTCTTGTTTTGATATTATTTTATTTTATTTATTTATTTGTTTTATTTATTCTTAAGTATTTTTATATGATTAAATTTTAGGAAAAATTAGAGAAAAAAATTAAAAAAATAGAACAAAATAAAATATTAATAAAATTTTTTTAGAATAATAATAATTATTCAATGATGAAATTTTTAAAAATTGTAAAAGATTAATTTCTATAACATTCTTAGGTAAAAATGTTTTTTTAAATTTGTCTCAAATTGAGGAGAATTTAGATACAGTTTCAAAAGTAATAATTAATATTTAATTTTAATTTTAAAAAATAAAAAAAAACATAAATTTAATAAAATTTTGGAATTAAAATACTAATTACCCAATAATAAGATTTTTAAAAATTTCAAATGATAAATTTTTTAAGAAATCTATAAATAAAAAATTTTTTTAAATTCAACTCAAATGATAGAAGAATTTAAATGAGATTTTGAAAAATAATTGTTATATATTTTTTTTTAAGGATTAGAAAATTAATAATAGTTTTAAATTTTAAATTAACCCAAATAGTGAAAATTTAGAAAAAAACTTGTAAAATAAAAAATAAATTTCAAGAATGAAATTTGTAGTAATCACAAATGAATAATTATCTAAAAAATTTTTAAATGAGAAAATATTTCTAATTAAACCCAAATTGTGAAAGAATTAGATATATTTTCGATAAACAAAAATGATTAAATTTTTTTGACGACAAAACATTTTCAAGAAAATAAATAAAGTTTTTGAATACTCTCGATGTGAGAAAATATTTTAAGAATTCTATCATATTGATGGAAAAATCTTAAAAATTATTTCTAATATTAAATTTAAAATCATTAGAACCAAGATAATTGTTAGGATAAGTCAAAATTAATTGGTACCATCTTAGAATGAACATTATAAAAGTGTTATAACATTTCTCACATATAATCGAATTGTCAAAACTAATTTTGTTCAAAAGGTCGAAACTTATTATTTAATAACCCTTAGTCAAGTTCGGGAGTTTCTTAAAGGATAGATTTATTAGATGATCAATCATACTTAGATAAAAAATATTGGTAATAACTCATCTTGTTAAGTTTAACTATATATTTATAAATCTATACATTATAACAAATTATTTATTAAATATTGAGAGAGAATAAAGGGAAAAAAAAAGAGAAAAAAAAAAAAAAAAAAGAGAAAAGAAGAGAAAATAATATATGGAAGGTCATGATGGGGTCAAAGTTTGTAAAGTTAATGGTATGAATTAACGCATGTGATGATTAATAAAATAAAAAATATATAATTTATCCTTAACCACTTCAGCGGAGTGAATGGGCATAAATAAAACTTAAAGATCAGCGATAAGTATTTTCGATTCCAAACAATCTCAGTTTCTTTTCTGCCAAAGTACCAACCATTCTATATGAGCACTGAGTGAGGGTACTCGGATGAGTCTTAAAAACTCTACTTCTTGTATGGATCACAGAAACCAAAAAAAAAAAAAAAACAAAAAAAAAGGAAAGAAACCAACTCAGCGTTAATTCATGTATATTATCTCACACTCCCACCTAATTGCTGTTCTCTGCATACTACAAATTTGAATTAATATAGTATAATTTTTTTTTTTTGAAAAAAAAGACAATTAATGATCAATATACACTAAGTTGCCAAATGTTTTATATACTAAAATTTAGTAAAAGTAGAGCCTTGCTTTCTTAGTTATGGATTTCTTTTATATGCAACTGGTGACATTTACTTTAATATACATTTGGTTGAAGTATTTGAAAGAAATATTTTATTTCAAAGTTTTCAAAAGTTCAAAAATGAATTTATTTATTTAGATAAAAATTAAAAAAAATAAATTTTATGTAAATTTTCAAGAAAATTTTTTTGTTTTTGCCTCTTAGCATAAACGGTGACCAGAAATCTTGAACATATTTTGGCTCACAATGTAGCAGCTTGGATTTATTTTGCAGTTATTTCTAACATCTCCATTTCGTTGTAGCCGAAGTTCATTTGCCCTCTGAATGAAGGGTTTATAGGCAAGAGGGCTTAAAAAAGGAAGAGTAATCAGTCTAAAGAAAGACGGCACGGTATAATCGTTTTAACAGTAAACGAAAAAATAACAGTTCTCTAGCAGCCTGTCTTAAATAGTAAGCTCGACTTACAATTTAAATGCAAAGTGTCATGTGATCAAGTCCATGATCTCCAAGCCTTCTGCATTTTATTGGTGAGATATCTAGCAGCTTTAACACCACCAACAGTCAGTAGACCAGATACTGCTTGCCTTGCACTTGAAACCATGACTGTTCGCCTCAAAACCTTCTGCATGCGTTTTGTAGCCTCTTCTCTTGAGCCAATAACAACTTCATGCAATGCCTGAACTGAAATCAGAATACTTTCATGAAACAATTACCTAATTTTTTGCCCATGACATTGTAGCTATTATTGTACACCAAAATGAAGCTTTCAGACTATTTCCAAGGAAAATATAGAGTTCACTAACTTTAGCAGCGGTAGAATGAAAAAGCAGAGGAAAGTTAGCAATGTTTTTGGCCTAGGCAGCATGTAAGTGTAGTTCATACCAGATTCACTAGTTACTTTCTTCCTTCCTAGCCTTATCCCCATTAGACTTCTAATAGCTGGAGGAAGGAAAGAAACATGTGAACGAGCTACTGGTAAGCCACAATCCTGATTCAACCAAGAATATATCCAAATTAATGGACTCAATAATAATGTTACCCATATACAATTCCAAAGGTCTAGCATGAAAATATGATAGCTTTCCCCTAAAAGATAAATTTTCATGTTAAAAAAAGCTTCTTATTTATATCATTTACAAATGTTTCATATACGAGATGAAATCCACAAATACAGAAAAGCTACCATCATACCCACAGAACAACCTAAAACACTAAAGAAAAATCAAATCTACATAATTAATTATGTATGCTGCAATATTAATGCATATGAGATAACTTCAGGATGCTAGTTTGTTTTTGTTCTGTAAAAATCAGTGTTGATCTTGGGTTGCTACACCCGCTTGGTGCCATTTAGTCATTGCTTGAAGAACATACACAAAAGAACACAAAGATTTCTTTCTCTAGCAAAGCTGTAAAGTTTTGTTCAAAACTGATTTTAAGTATGTGAGCAGCAGATGAGACCAAATGTTAAGCTCTATCCACAAAGGAAAATTAGAAATTAAATTCACATCACCGAACCAACTTTGGGTTCATTGATTAAATTCATATAAACCTGATATATATTTGCATGTTGATTTTCAGATGATGAAAATCTCAACAAGTCTTTGCCTTCATACTCCTCAAGGAATGGCTTATACATGGACTGGAATAAATCAAACTGCCCTTGTACAATCTTCTTCACCTGAATCAAGAAAGCATCCTTCTCACATCATAATGAAAAAAAAACCAGATTAAATGAAAGTCATATATAGATGCAGTAGAAGAAAAAGGCATAAGAGTTATTGGAGGGAAATCAATTTCTGAAGCAGATGAAATTATACCATGCAAGAGCAGCATTTATAGGAGCATTAGGAATCATTTCAGGTGATTTGATCCTCCTTGTTGAATTCAACCAGGAGGACAAGGTTTAGAAGCATGAAAATAACAAAGGAGTAACCAACAGGGAGTAAATTTGGTATCTCCAAGAAGGAAAATTCAGGGGTGTGAGCTTAATTAGAAGTTAGGAAGAGGCATTAAAGGTAACTAAACAGTTTTGCTGGTTTGGAATTATAAGATTAGAATTTGGAAGTGTTGGTTGATTCAGTCATGGTGAAAATAAGATAGTATAAATGAAAGAACAGAGAACAAGGAATGAAATCTTTGCTTGTTGGAGCTTTATTGCTCAGATACCATATCAAAGAATTATGAGCAGAATAATTTGGGGAATTAATGCTACATGCCTATTCTGTACTGATTTGTATTTATACAGCCATGTACAGAAAAATGGATGGTAACAAGTTTGAAATATAAGAAATTTGGACCCACTTGAATGATACGAACTTATCATTGATTTCCCTCCACTACGAGTGCCATCAAAAAGCTTCTATTCTCATATTCTTATCATGGATCATAGTTTTCAATGGCATAGCTAAGATGTTATTGGGGCATAACTGGTGTTTGACAGGAACGTGTTCATAATTTAAAATTTTGGGTAAACTACTTGCCAACTTTGACAAACAAATGTAAATTTCAGAACTGTCAAGAGCTAACCTACTAGAGATTTTCCTTCAAAATTTCTACATTAGACGACCTTAAGTTTTACCTTATTTCGATCCTCTGCAAAAAACATTCGCAAGTCACCCATGTATGACAGGCTACATATTTTGGCATAAAGGTCTTCCTGCATGAAAACAAAACTGATTACAAATATAGTAATTCTAAGAGGACGAATGGCAAGGAAGCAAACCTCTGTGAATTTGGGTGGCAAGAGAAGGAGAGCAGCAGACACTGCAGCTCGCAAGTTAACAGAATTTACATCTTTGATGTCCAAATTATCCACAAGCATATTTACCTCAATAAAAAATAGCGGTATAAGAATACTAATAAACCCCATAAAACAACATAGGTTATAGGTAGGATACTACAATGAATGGTAACTAATTATCCAAAAAGATACAATGAATGGTGAATTCACCTTCATTTGGCAGATGAGCAGACAAGGGTGAATTCAATGTAACACGACATAAATTTCACCACACAGTTGACAATAAGTTATAAAAAGTATCCTTTTTATAGTGCTTTTTTCCAAAGAAAATATAAGACATTAATATAGAAAACAAACGAGAATCAAATATAAGAAAGCACACCGGTTTTTGTAAACGACCACTCAAGTACAACCTCTCCCAATTTAAAATGTCTTGAACCAAGTCATGCATTCGAACAACTCCATATTTGAACATCTGCCATCCATAATAGCCAAAATGTGAGGAAATAAAAAAAATGCTCAGAGATCAAGAACATGCCTGAACAATGGACAATATGTTCACACACAACAAATTAAGATTTGAAAGCAATCAATGAGTGTATACACATATAATACATCCATATAACCATATTAAACATAAGATCCTATATTTTCATTACTCAATACCTTGTTATTCCAAGTAACAAACGGGTTGAAGTGTACTCCTACTCCTATTTTGTCTGCAACTTCAGTAACCTACAACCCAACAATCTATGTCTGAGCTTATGGAAAAAAAAATTTTAAATCTCTGCAGATGTGTGTGTGTGTGCACGAGTGAGAGAGAGATGAGAACCAGTTTTGCCCCACCAAGAAGCACCATCCATGACGCGTAATGATCTGCATTCATTTTTAGATTCTGGGTCGGAGAAAAACAAAATAGATTGGATTGATGAAAATATAGGGGGAAATCACTATGTAAAAAAGTTGATGAATTGTTGTGACATAGCTTAAAATCTGAAAAACTGACCTCAGAATGCCATTGCAGGGGATCAGACACGCCAAGAATGTAGTCTACCATGGTTGACTAGAAGAGCAAAAAAAAAAAAAAAAAAGAATAAAGAGAATAAAATGAGAAAATTTTGGAAATGCAAGTAGATATAGAGCGATGTTGAAATAGAATAACCTTGTCATGATTGGTTGTATGGAGAACTGAGCCATAGACACAGCAGAAGTCTACCGGAGGAATAACTTTGAGAAAACTCAAGAGATGAGCTCTCTTCTCATCATCCATAACTACTTTAATTGTTAATTTTTGGTTACTTGTCACCTGCTAGTGCTGGACAAGAAAAGGTTGGATTTGTTAGTGCAAACCCTGTTTCAATTAGGTTTGTTGAATGAAAAGCAATTTAAAAATTGCTTACATAAGTTACAAAGAAGAAAAAAACAAAAAACCTTCGCCTGACACAGACCTAAAAACTCCGCACGACGATTAGCGTTTTAAGGGTTTAAGAATTAGGGTTTTAGAATCCCCAAAGATTAGTCGGCCTACATAGTCCCCAAACACCGAGTGGGCTTGACCCATCCAATCAATCATCCACATTGCTTTTCAGTTGACAGGTAAGCAAGGCAAACAGATTTTAAACTCTTCGTTTTTAGGTTTGGTTGGCGGGCCGAAATGAGGAGCAGCTGTCCATACTCGGTACTACAATAACCCACCTTCCCGTAAGGCCCAAACAAGACTTGTTGCGCTCTTTTTTTTACATTACATGCTACTTGGTGATGTCACCTTTCCTCGCTCTTTTCCAGATGATTTGTCAAATTATTCAGAACGATAGTCAGAAGTCAGAAATATATTCGGATACCTCCCTAATTTCTAAGGAAAACCCTTTATGTTTCTTCAAATTCAAGGCTGTATTTTACTACTAATATTTCAGATTGATGTCGATAAATTGATCGACAAAGACTGCATCCTGCCTTCAAATTTTTTTTAACAGTAAAAAATTATTCGGCTTTAACTTTTTTTCAGTACATCCTTTTTAACACATATTTATCTATGTCAAGTTAACAAATTTAGGAGATATTATGTTTTTCAATCTCTTAATAAATTCGAATCCAAATAACAGAAGAAAAACACACTCTATCGTTATCACTTAACCAATCTTCCCTTCCTTCATGTTAAAATGAAACTGAAGAAACAAATAGCATCTTCTATAAACAGAGACACATTGTTAATGATAAAAAATTGCAACTCTTTTTCCCCGTTAAATCACGGCAAAGTTCTAGACGCTCAGAGGGTATGCAAATAGGAAATGTGAACATTACACAGGGAGAAGCCAGCTGGTAACTGGTTAGTAATATCGCCACATATTTATCAACCAAAAGGTTAAAACAATATACAGATGACAGCATTTCAGGTAGAAACGAAGCCCCTTGACAAGTTTACTTCCCTGAAGAAAGCAATTGCTGCACCGCCACCAAGTCAGGAAGAACAATAGCACCGGATTTTCTCCATTCCTCAGCATCAGGAGTTTTGAATCTATCCAATAACAACGCATTCATCCCCACACTCTTTGCTGGGACATAGTCTTTGCGCATGCTGTCACCAATGTGCATAGTCTCTTCTGGGGCAATATCACCAGCCCTTTCAAGAGCAATCTTATAAATCCTTGGGTCTGGTTTTTCTACACCTTCAAGACCAGAGAACACACCAAAGTCCCACTCGGATCCCTAAACCACCAAATCAGATGGACTTTCAGATACAAACATCATATTAGATAACCTACCTAAATCAATGAATGAGAAAACCACTAACATTTCCAAATCATTGGTTCTCAAACCACTAATATTTCCAAATCATTGGTTCTCAAGTACACTTTGAGATTTGCAGCATCATACTACCAGTAAGATAGCACGTCCCTGCTTGAGGTTATATGGAAACATATGGAGGATCACCCCCTATTGTGTAACCATGTTTTTAAACCGGGGAAAACAAATAAGAAATCAAAAGGGCTTCAAACCCAACAATTTGCAAACTAATTTCCTCACTGTGCACTGGATCAAAAATATACGAAATATAATAAGAATCACAATCCAATAAGATGCATCAATCCAAATTTCATTAACTTGTTTACCTGGTTCAAACCCAAGGCAGGAAGAATCACATCCTGGTAACGATATTCTGCATTGCTTATAATCCCCACTTTAAGACCCTTTTCACGAGCCCATCTTAGGAAGGGTTGGGAATCTGCAAAAACTGTATATGGTGCAGATGAACCAAAGGAAGCATATATGCGTCTAAATATCTTCTCAAACATGTCCTCATCATACTCGTACCCTGCCTGTTAGCAAAACAAGACTGGTGTCATAACAACTAATCTCTCTTTCTCTCTCTCTCTCTCTGTACATATGTAATAGAAGTATGCAAGATTTTCTTTGATAGCATAACATAAATTATCTTACCCTGACAAATGAATCTCTAACACAAGTTTTCCACCATACAATGTTTGGCATTTTTGCTGCAAACCCAAAACACGGATGCTTCTTTGCCATCTCTGTATATGCAAGCTTGAAACCTTCATGCACACGTTTATAGTCAGGGCATGGTAGTCCAACAGCTTTGGCTGCCATGCAATAGTAGTCACCAAGCTCCCCTTTGTAAGCTATGAGAGTACCAGTAACATCCACAGTGATACAGCGTAATCTGGATAATAGGGACATTGCAATAGGAATTGTGCACAAGCTTTTCAGAATTGACCAAACCCCAAAAATGTAAATCAAGAAGATTTTGATTCTTATAGGATCTTCAAGTAATTTGTGATGCAATGGATTGACCCCTTCTTCAGTCAATCTTCACAACTGTGTACTTCAAAAGTGTGGGTAATGATTAGCAAAAAACGTTGGCAACCATAGTGCAACCTGAAGAATAAACCAAGGAATATAATCAAAATTCCATCACCAATCAGTGGTTTTGAAAACAAAAATGTTAACAGTAGGAAAGAAGAATGTATATGAAGCACAAATCATATGTTTTACATTGTGTTTATGATGATTTTTGCATTCGGATAATGTCACATAAATGTTGAAAATACATCAACCACTGGAGGAACAAAGAAAGAATTACTAGAAAGTTTAATATTCAAATGACCCAATTAGACAATGCACCAGGTTAAGCAAGCAACTAAGTACAAATACTGGGAGATAGTAATTGGTCAACAATAGGGAAAAGAAAAAAGCTTTCATAACTAAACATAAAGAGAATGTCAGATTCCAGCAATTTAATGTTTACTAAATGCCTAAAATGTATAGACAAGCGTTACTAGCAATAACCTCAACCACAGTCCAAAAATTAAGATGCTCTCTTCTACTAGGAATTGAATAAAGAATTGCATGATATTATATCTGAGTTACTTTGAAACAGCCTGAAAATCTATAAACAAAACACACCAGTTCTTGGCATAATTAAAATGATCTTTTATGAGACCAAAGTCCTACCCTGTCCGTCACCTCTTGAGTACTTAAATCAAGCATTGCTAGCTCTACAGTAACAATAATTATCTTTATAATGTTGTATACTAATTAGGCAAGAATCTGACGAAGAGAACAAAGAGTTTGCAGTCGTAACTACCATAAGGAAAACTTCAAATTCCAGTCTGTTATTTTAGGCTACAAATATAGCTAAACTGAATATGATTGCATTATTTGCTATAAACTATAAAGAGATGAATCTCCTTTTCCTACCCAATATTATTATGCTAAAAGGGACGCGGAAATGCAAAGGATAAGTAAAATCAGCATTCAGCAAATAATAAAGATCAACTGCTCGCCTTTCACTTTCATAACATATATGCTCAACATAGTCAACACAACTGCAAGATGTCGTGACAACAAAAATGAGAAAAAAAAAATTCAACCCATAATTTAAATAGAGCAAATTAAGACTTATCCAAGCCAAAAAGGAAAAATCAAAAGAAAGATTTGAACCAGTATCAACAGCGCCTGGACCTTGAACAACAGTGCAGATAACCTGTGCTTTAGCAAGATTAGATATATATATACATATATATTTTTTTGGGTTTCTTTTGATAACAAAAATATATATACTACAAGTTCTAAAGATTGGAAATGGTTAAAAAAATCCAGATACAGGCATTAGGTGGGAAAAAAAAAGAAAGCGAAATAACAGCAGAAGTGGATCAAGATTCAAGAATTGAAGCAGTGAAATGGAAAGTGGAAGCAAAATGGAGAATTACAGAATGAAAAAAGAAGCGGGAAAACAAGAAGAGAGATTGAAGTGAAGATACCCACAAGAAATGAAGCATAATCTGGATACTTTACTCGGGTCAGGTCGGGGGTTGAAATCAGAAAATGCCATTGTCTTCTTCTGTTTCGGGAGATGTATCAGCTTCGGCTTCAGCTCGACTAAAGTTATTGAGCATGTGAGTGTGAGAGAGAAAACAGATGCGTCTTTTCAAGTTCTTAATTTTTTATATATTAATCTTAAATTATTTTTTACCCCTGATTAACATAATACTAACTTATTTTTATTAATTTTAATATTTAAATATTAAAAATATTTTTAGGTTTTCTCAATACTTTGATCAAATCTCTAAAGAATTTTTTCTACTTTAAAAATATTCAAACAACACGCCCTTTAAGATGTTTTTCGATTATCATATTTATTAAATATTTTATAAAAAATTAATTATATACATGATAAATTACATTAATTAAATAAAAAATTTACAATATATAATCATAAATAATTAATTATGAAAAAAATCAAAATTTGTTTCAATTTTAGTTTTTATCTTAAATTATAAATAAATAGAAATTATTATATTGAGTTCAATTTATGAATTTTTCAATATTTTAATCAAATTTTAAAAAAATTTATCTTACTTAGAAATTTTTAAGAAAATTATACATACATAGCTTTTTAAATTTTCATCGCCAATTCAATTTTCACTTATTTTTGACTTTTTTAAAAAAAATTACATGATAAAAACATAGAAGGGAATACAAACAAATTTAATCTATCAATTATTATTTAATCTATATCTTATTTTTTATGTTATTAAAACATATCCTAATTTAAGAATTCAAATAAACACATGAATAAAATAAACAATAAAACAATTAAATCAATCAAACTAAAGAATAAAGAATTAAAAAATATCAAATTGGTTATCACCTAAGCTGAATTAGGTTTCAAAAAAAAAAGAAAAAACTCTTTATTCATTCATACCACAGTCTAGAGTTTTAGCACACATCAAGAATTGGGTATTGGAAAATTATTTTGAATGCATTTAAAGTGACAAGGATCAGTGATACCTTAACTGCAAGTATGAATTGATCTAACAATAGTAAAGACCACACAAGAAAAGAAAAGAAATATTGTGCTTTTTTTTTTTCACAGCAAGGACATGCCATGCGGTAGAGAATTCCTTCAAGTAGGTAAGTTAGCTTCAACATGGCATATTATGGTCAAGGCAATGAAGATTTTGTTTCTCTTGCATTAAAAAGCAAGAAAGTGCATGAAGAAAAAGAAGCAAGGAATTTGAAATTTAATAAAACCAACAACAATTAATAAATAAATTTTAAAAGCATACCAACATATACCAGAATTTTTGAGATGATGGGAAATCTTTTCGAACTAATATGATTAACAGCCAGATGAAACTATAAAGATAGCCAACATGATTCTTTTTCTTTTTTTGCTGGCTGAATGTTTTCTTGATTATTAATTGTTGCTGATTCTTCTTTGTCATAATAATTTTGAGATCGTTAGACAAAATTTTAAAAATCAAAATAGAGAGTCATCACTAATATTTTTTATTAAAATGTAATTGATCATATAAAAAATTTATCTTTTTAATAAAATCTTAAAACTAATTAAAATTTATCAAAAGAATAATTTTGATTTTTAAAAATAGAGTTGGATTAGGGATTACCATTATAAGTGAAGAAGAATTAACACTCTACAATGGTTGCTTTAAAAATAATACTAATTAATTGCATATTATCTTTAATATTAATGAAAAATAGTTTTAATTTGAACATTTAAAGTAATTCCCTTAATTTATTTATTTTTGCAAAATCTTTTTTTTAAAATTTTTTATTTAAGAATAAAATGAAAGTTTTTAGTTTAGAAATATTTTCTAAATTTTCTAATATTTAAACGAAATTTCAAAGAATATTTCTTTACTTAAGAGTGTCATATAATCCTCAAATTTTGGTATAATATTCTTTTATAATAATAATTTTTGAAAACCTTTCAATATCTAAGTAGAATTTTATGAATTATTTTTACTTAAGAATATCATTCTATTTTTTTTAAATATCTTTTCTTTTTATTTTTAAAAATTATTATTATCACTTCAAATTTATTATCAACAAGTATGATGCATATGATGCAGTATGACGTAAATGGATGTAAATAAAAATCAAATGACACAAATAATCAAATTTATTTCTCATCTTATGAACTTTTAATTTTTTTAATTTTTTATCATCTTATTATTTTTCCTCATCCTTGTTTCTAAAATTATTTAATTACAAAGTGAATAATTTTTATATTGAAAATTTTCCTTTAATTCTCTATATCTATACGGAATTTAAGATAACGCAAAAAAACTTCCAACAAAAGAATAATAAGTCATATTGTTAGGTGAGATATAAGTTTGATCGAGCTGAAGGGAATTTCAAGAAACAAGATCAACTTGATACGTTAGCTTGGACCTAAACCTAATCACCAAAATAGTCTTAGATTGATGATGAATCACTCTTTTATTAGAAAACTATTATATTATTTTCATCTTAAAATGACCTAACAATAAATATAATTTCTTCTTCCATTTCACAACTGATCTCATTTCAATTAACCATGTAGATTTTATTTTGCGTTCTGTCATTCTTCATTTTTTTTGTTTTTTAATTAATGTAAATTACAATTTAAAAAATTTACAAATTGACAGTTATTTTCCAATCTTTGGGGGTATCCATGACATCTTACCTATATATGTGGATATTACTCTGGTCTGGGCTAAGCTAGCAATGCTTAATGTTTTTGCATTGTTATCTTTTGTTGGTCTAGGTAATTTTGGTAAATATGCAGTTGGATGTTCTTGTTGCTAGTGCTACAGCCTACTAGGCATAAAAATATGGCAAAACAGATATGTGTGTTGATATTCCGGCTACCTGTATATGCCTATCTATCCAAACAGAAGGAATAAAGGTAGCAAGAGAAAGGTGAAAGGCCAAAGTGGGGATGTGGTGCAAAGGAAAATGACTCATAAGGGAAACACTTTGTGATTAGAGTTCCCTCAAGTTGAACTTCTGCTTTATATGATTTTTTGTGGGTTGTACGAATGAGCATGGTGGATTCATTTTCAAATTCCCAATTTGCTTAATATGATGTTTATAATCACCGACATCAAAATTAGTGAACTTAATTCTCAATTATATATGTAAATACTCATATGTGTCTGAGGTCGATAGAATTATTTTTATTAATATTATTATATCATATTAGAGTATAATATATTAATATAACAATATATTATTATTATTGTTATTATATTGTACATAGTTTATTAGTATTATTATTATTACTATTATCATCATCATCATTATTATTATTATTATTTAAAGAAAAAAATCAAAAAATCAAAAAGGTTTAAAATAAGAAGGAGAACAAAAAAAAAAAGGAAGGAAATTGGTGATTCAATATCGGATCCGTTGGAGCATGATTTTTGGTGATTCAATCACGAATCCGGTGGAGCATGATTCTTGGTGATTCAGTTACAGATTTGTTTGGCATAATTCATGCAAAGAATCAAGCATATACAGCAAGCAAAAATGAAAAGAACAAAAGGAGGGAGGAGCCTGAAAAAATCAATACACACCCGAAAGCTAGCACAGATAGCCCCAAATACGATACCTAGAAACCTATACCCAGGATTCCATCAGAAAAACAAGCAGAAGAACACTCTCTCCTCACCTCTGCCGATTTACCAGCCCCTGAATTCTCAAGTTATTTCTGCAAAAAATTTGCTATGGGTAAGGAGAAGGTTCACATTAACATTGTGGTCACTGGCCATGTTGACTCTGGAAAGTCGACCACAACCGGTCACTTGATCTACAAGCTTGAAGGCATTGACAAGGGTGTGATCGAGAGGTTTGAGAAGGAAGCTGTTAAGATGAACAAGAGATCTTTCTGTTTTAAGTTCATGCAGGCATTCTTGTTAGAATGTCTCCCAGTTATGGCTAATTGAATTAACTGCGTTCTTATTATTCAGTTTTTAATTTGCTACATCAGCTATAAAGAATCACTTGAAATGTTAGCAAACTTTTATTGCCACCACAATTACATATCAATTTTCAAATTCTTGCAGATTCTTTATCTGGTTTGAGGATTCTTGAATTGGATTATAACCTGCGTACTTTTTTTACGGCTTGATCTTTTTTTTTTCCTGGTCACAGGTGTTTCACAAGTTTATACTTTTAAACAGGTTCCTGCATGACAAGGTTAAGCCACATATTGCACCGGGATATACATGCAAGCAATGTACTACTTGATGAAGAGTTTGGAGCCCATCTGATGGGGGTTGGTCTTTCAAAATTTGTTCCATGGGAAGTAATGCATGAGAGGACTGTGATGACTGGTGGAACCTATGGATATCTTGCCCCTGAGTTTGTATATAGGAATGAGCTCACAACAAAGAGTGATGTCTATAGCTTTGGAGTGCTGCTGCTTGAAATAGTAAGTGGGCGTTGGCCTGCTCAGCAAGTTATTTCAGTGGGTTGGCAGAGTATATTTGAGTGGGCAACGCCTTTAGTGCAGGCATATCGCTACCCAGTGCTCTTGGATCCTCTCATATCTTCATCAACATCTGATGTTCCAGAGGCCGGTGATATTCAGAAAGTGGTGGACCTTGTGTCTGCTTGCACACAAAATGTCCCTTCTATGCGGCCTAGGATGTCTCATGTTGTTCATCAATTGCAACAGTTGGCGCAGCCAGCTGTCACCAAGTAACTTAGGTTTATCTCACGCTCTGGGTCTTTTTGACTTTGAATGCCTAATGTGAAACGAGCAATTTCTCCAGCCAATTAAGGTGCCAGAGCTTTAATTTTGCTGAACAATATATAGTTTAGACCTACCATAGCGCTAGTAAAATCAAAAGAGATTAAACTCAAATGGAGGATCTGTACTTTATGCATTTGAAAAAGGTGACAGAAGAAAAGTTCATGGATGAATGAGTTTCTTAGTAGAATGTGTCAAATCAGATAGGATTGATTGCTGTAAAATCAGGCTGCCATTATCTGGGTCATGGAGCGTAGCTGAACCACTAATTGTTAGCTTGGCCAAAAGTCGGCACTCTGCTGACTGTTTCAAGCCAATCTGTGACTTTTGGCTCGCTGTGGTGCATGGCTCTTCAGACAGCATTCATCACGGCTGCAAGTCGGACATCTGAAGTAGGGATTAGAAAAGCCAAAGGGTAACCTACGTGATCCATCTTTGCCCCGTAATTAATTTAATTTAAATGTAGCTGAGGAAGGCATGGATATATAAACCCATTTTTTTGGTTCTAAAATCATCATTGGTCGATGTCATCAATGATGTCACAATTCGCATGCTGACAAATATAATTAAATCACTTCGCAAAGAGGTGGGAACATCATCCCGCTTATGCGCGCTCTAGGTGTGGACATTTTTCTTCATTTGCTTCTTTTTAGTAATTACAAAAAAAGAAAGAGTAAAATCATGGCTACCATTACCGTAAGGCGAGAAAATTCACATGCCATATAAGCTGTAAATAAGCAAATTGATAATGAACCTTGGTTAGATGAGACATGGCCATCGCATCATGTCCAGCTCCGCTCATTAGCACAGAAACCTCATCTTGAATCTCCCCTATCATTCTGTTGAGAGCAGTGTAAGCAGCAGATTTTAGCTGTGACCTCAGTTCCGGAGCACAAATTACTGCATTTGCATCATGCTGAAATGATCCCCAGCACAGAAAGTTAAAGATTATTCTTGTTATGCAAATGCCTAGCAAAATGTTGAGCTTCCTACCTTTCGTTTAACGCTTCCAGATACGAAACGTCCATCACATATTTGATACATACGATTAAATAATTCATAAAGAACAGCCTCACGTCCCACATCATCAATTGCACATAAATCCACAGTGAACGTTACGTGCATTAGAGTTCGTATTCACTGCTTATTAGCATTCCTGTTAGGGCTTACATTGAGATGTTCAGGAATATTTTCTTGCCTGGTCTGGAATGACGTTACTAGCACTTGCCAGATTGATATCTCTCCAACAGTACAGACAAGAGAAGTGGACACAGAGTCCATGGTAAATTCATTGTAGTTACCGCCATCACATAAGAAATTTCGAGGATGTTTACACAGACTCTCCAGCAATACAATCAATTCCGCAGCGGCAGCCATAGAGTCCCTATGCATTGACATTGGTACTGTTCTGGCATGTCCCTGTGAACCTCTCTCCGTAACCTGCAAAGATGGAACAGTTCAATAAAGAAAACCTGAATGATCGTTAGGAATATTGACTGAATATTACTTTAGTTTCACATATATCCAAGTTTAAAGCTTTTGGTTGCAAATTCAGGAAATCATAAGCCCAACATCAAAGGATGAAAACAGTATTTATGGAAAAATTAATGATCAAGTTGCATTGTTTTCTGTAATTAATAAAGATAATCACCCCTTGATGCCTTTATTTCTTTCTATTCAATTTGTCCATTGTCAAGTACATAAATGTAGTGTAGGTGAGCTTAAGAACTTACGTGGCTGTTACAATTGAAGTTCAGAAAAACAGAGATTTATGACCGGTGCATAAAAGGGACAACGACAAATTTCCCCACTATAATAACTTTAAAGAAAATATGTTCTTTGGTCCTAAAAGAACCAACAATAGTAAAGTAAGCAATTCCAGTAGATAAAAAAAAGATTAAAGGATAAAATAATATGTTTCTGCAAATAACCAATAAATTTATTTACAAGGAAAAGGCCCTTTTAAGAGTAATGTTAAGATTAGACGAAAAAGTGAATAAGACAACAGCACTAAGTTGTCATTACTTTGTATACCTCACACATGCATGAAGAAACACTAGAAAGAGGCCCCGAAAACACCTCTTATATTGCAGCGTAACGCAAGGTTTACCAGAAATGCAGTACATGCTCATGTTCTTTCTCCAGCAAAACCATTCTATGGTAAATTTGGGATCCAATGTTTGTGTATACACTATCTTTTCTTTCTAATCCCCCTTTTTCCCCCTTCCTCCTCTACCCAAGAATAAGAAAAAAAAAATCATATTATCATTCATATCATGTACTTTTCAACCTTATGGTGCTCCAAACTCGATCAAATCAATTCTACTTCTATATTGCATGTAGTTTTGTGCATTGCACTTAACCGAACCATCAATGTTCGAATAACATGTTTCCAGGTTTAGGTACTTAGAGAAATTGCACAGCATTAGCTAAATTTCGTATATGTCCTCATACATGTTTATAGTAAGTCCAAGGTCGTAAAAAAAATCACAGAGTAACTGAGTAAGTATGTTTTGAGAAGTTTATGCATGTATTTTGACAAGATAATATTTACCTTCATTCGTGTCTGTCCAGCTATGCCTTTAACTACACCAAGAGGAAAACCAATCCATTCTAGTATAGGTCCTTGTTCAATGTGAAGCTGCAATATCGAATAAAGTAACAGAAATCCAAAGCAGAGTTTCTTTTCCGTGAGTATCCAAAGATAACCACTATATGTTTGTTCTCACAATAATGCAGTGCAGGCCAACATACCTCAACATAACCCCAAATTGATGCAGGATCATACTTCAACTCCAACAGGCTTTCCTCCGCAATTTGTATGGAATTCCCCTAAGAGCATCTTGCCCTGTCACACCAATAAACAAGGATTATGTGTAAACATACTGACTGTCAACAGTGCAATAAGTAGACATGAAAGGGTTGTAATCAAGGAAACCATTTATCAGATATCTTCAATGCTGTAACTGGTAAAACTCCAGCTACAGCAGCACTCCCTAGGAAGGTAGATTGAAACCTCACTCCCTCCTCGTCACTAAATGCAATCACCTGCAAGTTTCAAGAATATAATCAATAAAATATAAAGAACTACAATATTTTCAAAACCATTTATTTTTAAGCATGTCCAGATGAAAAATTAGTCTCTTTTCAACAGAAAAAGTAGCCAACATGTATCGGGTGAAAAAGAAAAGACTGGAACACAGCTAGGATATATTATGACGTTAGAAGATGTAGATAACTTGCCTCGATTGGTCGTTTTAGTTCTCCCAACTTGCCATTGCTTTTCAAAACTTTCAATGCTGATATAGCAGAAGTTATACCTAATGACCCATCAAATATCCCAGCATCAACAACAGTATCCTGTTTGCAAAGAAGATGTCAACTGTCAGTATGAACGTCGATTCATATTCTTGATATGTTGTATCACAAAAATGAGTAAAAATAGGGAAAGGACAGGCGTCACCAAATGAGAGCCAATCAACAGAGCTTTAGCACTTGCATTAATTCCCTCAACTCGACCATGTAAATTGCCCATAGAATCCACCCACCTGGAAATCGACATAACCATCAGTCAAGAGTTTTAGAAACCCTGATTAGGATTCAAGAAAAGATGGAAAGCTAACGTTCTCAAACCAGCATCCTCCATCCACTCACGAATAAGAATTCCCGCCCTCAAGAAGCTGGGCTCATAAATGTTCTCTTAAGATAGCCATCAGCATCACTCACCTATCAAACGAGGCAAACAATAGTCATCAGCATTGCTCACCTATTAAACTGAGGCAAATATATTAAAAGTTAAACAGAAACTAACTTTGCTGCCACAACGATTTAACTGGTCACAGATCAGTAATCCTATGGGGTGCTCCAACTATATCATCATTGCAAGAGACAATAGCATTGTGTAATAATTAGTTCAATTCTCATTGAATAAACTTTCAGTTATCCAAAAAAAAAAAAGGAAAAAAATACTAGTTCACTTCTTAAGAAGTTAACTGTTTAGGCAGCACATGTACTCTGTTAAGCAGACTCAAGAATAAATTTCTCTGCATTCTGTTGACAGGTTTCATGATTACTTCAGATATGATATCAACAATTTCTGGGTCAGAGGCAAGCGAAGTAAAATCTCTGTCTGCCTTTGTCTTCTTTTTGTTATTTGTAATCTGATAAAATAAGAAAAATATCATCTTTGAGGCTTTGACCGCATCACATTTGCCTATTAAACGTGTTTCTTCCTATCCACCCGTATTCTCCACCAAATCACCTTCAATCATAGAATACATGTTTCAAACATATTTCACGACAAAGACAAATGGTTAATTTGGTCTAACTGAATTTTTTACCTTTAAACACCCAACTTAAAAATGATTAAGAAAACAGGTAAAAAATGAAAATTTTCAAAAACAAAGATTGATGTAAATATGAAATATATATACCTTTCCAAGCTCATTAAGCCTTGCAACTGCGTCGTCCCTTAATATTTCTGAACACAAAGATCTCATTTTGCCTTCTTTATCTTCAATAACCAAATAATAGCTTGTAAGAGAACAATAAAAAATCATTAACAGAGACGCACAAAAGAAGCAGTACTTTTGCGGAGTCTAAAATAAAAGGAATAGTATTTCTTCAGTCTTTTTTTCTGCTTTTATAGGACAAAGAGAAAGACAACTTCAGATCAGTTGTAAGCGCAGTTTTTGGATAACTGAAAGCGACTCACTTTATTATGTACCAAAAAAAAAAACGTAAATTTCAAATAAAATTTTATTAGTAATTCTTAGGAAACCCAATCTTAGTAAAAACAAATGTTTAAACTTGCTCTGTTTTCTCATCTGATTACAGGAGATTCTTCTATCTCTACATTTATCCAATATAAAAAATTTCATCTTTTTCTTTTTCCTAGAAAATGAGAGAGACACCAGAGAAAGAGCTTCAAATGGTGTCACCATTCACTTGAAAAAAAA